CCGACCTCATACGTCATCCGCCCGGAACTGCTTCCATTTACAACAGTGAGCGCAAGCTACATTAAAGTAATTATTACGTTTTGAATATGGATATTTTTCCTACAAAAACGCATAAATTTGCTACAGAAGGCCTTTGTTCACCCCCCGGAGCCGTGTGAGACACTTTTTTTTATGGATGGGCACGTTTTAATTAAGTGCTTTTGGACTGATGCATGCAACACTCGCTGAGTGCCATGAAATAGCTTGAAAGATCAAAGACAATTTTTAATATAACTCCTGACTGGATTCGTCTGAAAGCGGAAAGTCATATACACCTAGGATGACTTGAGGGTGAGTAATTTATGGGCTAATTTTCATTTTTGGGTGAACTAACCCTTTAAAGTCTCTATTAATGAGCTGACGAGTTGAATCGGTTGTGTTAGATGAGGGAGACAGTGCTGGGCTGGTCCAGGACAGTTTTGAAAACCATTTCAGAGACATGTTCTTAAATGTGACTCATATAAAAGATATTACATGCATGCACAGTTTTAAGGCAGCTTTAATCGCCTTTTTGGTAACTTCATGACTTAACTGACCACGACAGTTCTGTCGTTCTGCGATTGAATACATGCACTTCTTGTCAAGAGAAAAAGTGACAGAAGCAGCAGTTGTGATGGCCAACCCTAGCCCCGCCCCTGCGTTAATTATTTTTAACGCGTTAAACTGAAAAAATGTATCGCCTCCATTAATGCGCTAATTTTGACACCACTACTAAATATATATGAGCCTTATAGCCATATAAGCTTTATTTACCTTATTTGTTGAAAGTCATTTAGTAAGAGTTGTAGCTGTTGGTCAGACTCTCTCACACTGAGGTTAAAGCAGGTGACTTATACACTTATGAAGGCTTAAGTAGGACACCTGTTCTGTTCTGCTACAGGAAATGCATCCAGCAGCAGGTTTTGTCCCAGCTCTAGTGCTCATGTGACATGTGACATGTGGCCAAGTATGGTGACCCATACTAGGAATTAGTGCTCTGCATTTAACCCATCCTAAGTGCACACACACAGCGGTGAACACACACACACCGTGAACACACACCCGGAGCAGTGGGCAGCCATTTATGCTGCGGCGCCCGGGGAGCAGTTGGGGGTTCGGTGCCTTGCTCAAGGGCTCCTCAGTCGTGGTATTGAAGGTGGGAGAGAGTGCTGTACATTCACTCCCCCCACCTACAATCCCTGCTAGACTCGTAACCTTTGGGCTACGAGTCCGACTCTCTAACCATTAGGCCACGACTGCCCGGATGTTTTCCCTTAAGTATTCTCCAGGCGTCTGTGGGTATTTTTGGAAGTGTTATGAAGTGGGAATTGTGCTTACTGCTCTCTGAAATGAGGGCTGATCAGCCGGAGTCTGTAACAACTGATAAACTTGAGACATATTTGGCACTCAAGCATATGAGAGATTTTAATGACTGCTCATTATGTGATCAGGACAAAAGCCCTTTTACTGATTTTTAGATGCAGTAGAGTTCTGTGAAATTTTAGAAAGCTCTTCAGGGACAAATGTTGCAGTTTTGTCATCTTAAAACCATATGCTTTGCTGTTTATTCGGCAGGTTTTATATACAGGAACTGCACGTCTAACGGCTGGAGTGACCCATATCCGCCGTACGAGGAAGCCTGTGCATTTGAAGATGATTCAGAATCTGGGACTGTGGTAAATAATTTCCCATAATGCATACATATTTGACAGTAATGCCCATATTTCAATAAATATTACTTGTGCAGAAAGGCTCAGTTTGATGAATGGCTTCCAGTGTATGTACAGTAGTGTGTACTTGAGCCTCCCATGATGTCCACTAGTGGTCACTGTTTTGTTTCTGCGTCATGCTTTGGCTTTAACTGTTCTTTTTGATTAAGTCAAGAAACGCTGTTTAGGATTAAAAATCTAATCAGGTCATTGACCTCTATGTTCCAGCTGAAATAAAAAAACAAGAATAAAAGAATATATATTTAAGTATTTTTTGGCTTTAAAGAACTGGAAGAGTTTTACTATAGTTAGTTTTAATCCAAAGATATTAGATATTGACATATAATGAACTATAAATCTGCTTGACATAGGGATGTTAACTACTTTTCTCTCAGACTTTGTTTTTTTTCTTTTTCAGACAACTTACTTGTCAACCTTGAAACAGCTGTACACTGCTGGATATGCAACATCACTTATATCGCTTATTACTGCCGTTATCATATTCACATGCTTCAGGTAAAGTCACACTTATATATACCGGCCAGCATCATATTCGCTGAATGAAATCCATATGATTTTATAGCATTTTTGCATTCGACAACCATTTGTAAGATGAAGAAATCTTGTATTATCCCTCAATCAGCAGAAAAACTGCCAAAACATGATTTCTCTTGCTTTGAGCCAGTTGCCACTATTCGTTTAATTCTCAGCTGATTTTAGCATACGTGACATTATTTTATGCCTAAACCTGATGTCAAATGTTAATGTCGTTAAATGTCAAAATGTATTTGAACATATTTTTCAGATCCTCTGCAGATTGTAAGTTAAATGATACATTTTGAATACTTCTTTTTGTTATTTTGATAAGTGCATTAAAGCTGATACATATTTTTTGCAAATCAGCTGAATTTTCTTTTTCAAAATGCACAGCCGTGTGATAATGATATCAAAATGCAATTATGATACACAAAATGCATAACAAAGAGAATCAGAAAGGGTGAATGAAAATATCTGCATATTCAGTAGGCAATCTACAGTATAAGAATATATTATGTTTATAAATACCCATGATGCTCTGTCATTACAGGAAGTTCCACTGCACCAGAAACTACATACACATCAATCTTTTTGTTTCCTTCATCTTGCGGGCAAGCGCAGTCTTCATCAAAGATGCTGTTCTGTTTTCAGATGAAACTCAGGATCACTGTTTAATGTCCACGGTGAGTGAGAGCGTCTGTATACAGAATTCACAGAATTTCGCCTCATTTGTAAGTCGCTCTGGATAAAAGCATCTGCTAAATGAATACATGTAAATTTAAGTGTCATTTCACTGTGAAGGACTAAACTACCTATTATCCAGAAAAGACCTACCAATCAAAAATGTTGTGCCATTAAAGGGTTAGTTCACTCAAAAATGAAAATTCTGTCATTAATTACTCACCCTCATGTCGTTCCAAACCCGTAAGACCTTCGTTCATCTTCGGAACACAAATTAAGATACTTTTGATGAAATCTGAGAGCTCTCTGACCCTCCATAGATAGCAATGCAACTGAAATGTTCCCAGGTCCAGAAACGTAGCAAGGACATCATTAAAACAGTCCATGTGACATCAGTGGCTCAACTTCAATTTTGCGAAGCTACGAGAATACGTTTTTGTGCGCAAAGAAAACAAAAATAACAATTTATTCAACAATTCTTCTCCCTGAGTTACCGTCTTCCTCCATTTTGGAGAGTACCACGACGCAAGTGTGTGCTTTCCCCAGAACGTAATCAACGTAATCAGTGTTTACGTTCAGCATGCGTGCGTTTTCTCCTGAACGTAAACAACGCTAATTACGTTGATTACGTTCCGGGTAAAGCGCACACATGCGTCGTGGTACTCTCCAAAATGGCAGAATTATTTTAAAAGAGTTATTTTAAAAAATAGAAAAACTAATACCGAACGTAAACAACGCTAATTACGTTGATTACGTTCCGGGTAAAGCGCGCACATGCGTCGTGGTACTCTCCAAAATGGCAGAATTATTTTAAAAGAGTTATTTTAAAAAATAGAAAAACTAATAAAAATAACAACAATTACTACAACGTTAACAAAAAATTTAAATGAAAACATATCAGATCTAGAAATAAAAACAAATTCAAAATATTTATAAAAAATACTAAAATAACGCTGCTTCCGGTGCAGGTAATGATTGTGCTCTTATTCTGTATCTGTACCTGTGTGTGTTTTGTTTTTCACAGGTGGCGTGCAAAACTGCTGTAACGTTCTTCCAGTTCTGCATCCTCACTAATTACTTCTGGCTGCTGGTGGAAGGCTTGTACCTGCAGACGCTCCTCGCCCTCACCTTCGTCTCGCAGAGGAAGTACTTCTGGTGGTACATTCTAATAGGATGGGGTTGGTACATCCTGAAAAACAGATTTCAGGAGAAAGACGGTGTGTGAACCGATTAAAAGATGAACATCGGCAGTCTGCCAAGATTTGAGTACTAGAGCAACTGAGCATACAGATATCAGCATTTGTGTCACACTACTGAGATCTCTTCTAAAAAATGTATTACAGATCTGAGGGTTGTTTTTCTGTGCATTTGGAGAAAGCGAGTATGCATTGTCTGTTTTTTTTTGGTAGGTGTCCCATCAGTCGTGCTGATCGTGTGGGTGTTGACCAGACAATTCTATGATAACAGAGGGTATGTCACATCTTCCAACATTAAAATTATCTTGAAACTGAACAAAACTGACCCCATTTCCTTTCTTAATGCATATTCTTATTGTATGCATATTAAGCATTTCATCAAATAACATTTGGCTTTTTTTTAAAGTCCGGCTTGACATATCAGCATTATTTAAGTATCATCTACATACTATTATAGTTTTTATGAAAATTTGATTTTTTTTTTAAATTCTAATTTTGTTGTTTTTGTCATGTCTGTTCGTTTTTTTTATGTCTTTATAGTTTTTATAAATGTTTATGTTTTAGTTTTAGTTATTTTAGTACATCAAGTTAAACTAAATGACTTAGTGTTAGTTTACAGATACTGTAATGAGGAAATGTCATTGTATTCCTGAAAGTCTTTTTTTTTTTCCTCCAGGGCTTTGTGGTGGCACTCCTTTACTGTTTTCTCAATGGAGATGTAAGTATTCTCATAATGGAAACATTCAACATGATATTGACAGTTACAACTACATTTTAACAGTTTTTCCTAAAGAAAATGTGCAAAACTACAAATGCCATGATACTGGATGGATGCAAGGGCATTGTTCTGAGTGTTTTACTATATTTCTTTGTGGTTGCATACTACCCTGGGTCAAATAAAGCACTCTTGAGCAAATCTCTCCTATCACCGAAAGTGTTTTTTTCCCCACCAGGTGAAAATTGAAAGTCTGATCACTTGGAAAAGCAATAAAACACCTCAACAAGCTACATGATTTTGAGGAATTATTCATTGTCCTTATACAAATGATGTGAAACGAGTTATGCGAAAAAATACAGTATAATATAAAGTTTTATGGGGTTTTAAAAATCCCTAACCGCAAAGGCTAAATCTGAACTGAAATCTGTTTTTAAAGGGGTCATATGATGCTGCTAAAAAGAACATTATTTTGTGTATTTGGTGTAATGAAATGTGTTTATGCGGTTTAAGGTTCAAAAAACACATTATTTTCCACATATAAAGAATATCTCTTTGGATTTGAGACTTTAGTCTTTGCAACTTTACAGATGTTCTTTATGCACCAAGAGCTTGTAACACTCCAAAGAGAAAGGAAAAATTGAAATCGCATCATATGACTCCTTTAAAACATCACAGAATGAATCATTTTTAGGCAACATTTTAGTCTAAATGGGTACAAAAACCTGGGAATCAAACACTAACACATAGGCACGCAGAAACGCGCACCTCATTGTTACGAGATGCGTGACAAATTAAAACAATAACGCGTATCGTCATTCTAAACTAAATTTTTAACCCTGAGCAGCAGAACGGTTTTATACAGAACCGGGGTCAGCAACACTTTTACCCAAAGATATGAAACCCTGCTCCGGGATTTTGCAGTGCCGAACTTGTATAGCATGAAAGAATGCAGTGTTGTTAGCTAGATGATGTTATATTAGATGCTTAGCAACAGAAAGCCAATCACGCAGCCTACCTCATATTCATATTCATATTCATATACATACATACATATCTATGATATTCACGAGTTTTGAAGAGTTAGCTAAGGAAACACAGCGCGTAGTATAAACAGTAGGCCTATTTTTAGCGTTTGAGCAGAAAAATGTCAGATGATGACAGAAAACACATGAAGAAAATACTTTAATTCTTACCTTTTATAGTTCGAAAAGTCCAATCAGGAAAAACTTGTCAACAGGATGAACAATGCTAGAGCTGTTAGCTAAACAGATCACGTGCTGCGTTCGTCCAATCATTGACACTGACGCCGCAAATATGCAAATAAGAACGTTAACCCGGGGTTTAGGAATGTGTGGAACGTCACTTTATAAATATCCAGGATTAGCTTTTAACTCCGGGTCAATTATGAGCAGTTTGAAACATGAAGCATGATAATACATTTAGCATTAACTATTTCAAGTGTGTAAAGCCGCTGTGTGTTCTAAAATCAGCTCAAAAACATGTTCGATGTCTTCAGACTAGATGGATTTATAGTCTGAAGCTAAAAGAAAACGGAGTCTGCGTCAATCATAACCTACACTACACTATTTCTTGTTAAATTGGTTATCTGACTCCTCCAAACTGTAATTGGGGAAATCTGGACAAAAGGTTGTGTAATCAGGCATAAGAATGAGCAACACTCTAAGACAAATGGTGCAAAACTTTCACTGTGGCGCTTTCAAAATGTACTAATACAGTATACACTTTAGGTACTAATATTTAAATAAGGTACAAAGATGCATCTTTTAGCTTTTCTACCTTAGGGATACTGTGCAAGTTTTTCTGAGAGTATCGCAATCAGTATAACCATTTGATATGAATGTATTGTCACTGAAGTGTGTCTCTCTCTCTTTCAGGTACAGGCAGAGTTGAAGCGCAGGTTATGGATGTGGCAGACCCAGACTCATCTGAGCCCCAGTAAAAAGCGTGGGGTCACCGTTACTCAGATCATGATGCATAACTCCACTCAATTAACAGACTGCCGTCTGCAAGGGCTACATCACATCTGTGTGAACACACCTGGATGATGCAGGTAGAAAGACTTGCAAAAGACTTCGGGAGCTTCACGTCCGGCTCTGGAGTGTGGAAGACGTTCAAAGAGGAAATGGGTCATTGTACGGCATTATCAAGGTCATGCTGCAAATACCTCAGAGTTATGGATTTGGCAGATGTCATTTGAGTTCAGTTTGCATGTGCCGATTTGCAGGTTGCAGAACTACAAGCAGATTGTGACACAGCCAGCGTAAACGAGTGGCGGTTTGATTAAAGTACAGATTTGATTGGGGCCCATGCAGTAGCAAATGCTTCATTAACATTCTGGTTGTATATTAGATTTGTGGTATGCAAAAGATATGAAATATTAAATATTTTTTTACATCCTCATTCCATCCAAGTGCTGAGCTATTTGCCGTAAACTGCAAAGTAACATGATTAATGTTCATCAGTTTGGAGGCTTTTAATTTTAAAGTGATTAATTTGTTATTTCTGATGGTGCTGAGGATGCATCATAAATATACAGGATACAGCTTTGAATTTTCTAATGCCATTGCTTTTTATAGCTTCTTTTAACTTAACATTTTTTAACAACTTTGAACATTGATAGAAACTGAATAATGCTTCTCCGCAGCATATAGATGTATTTAAGTGGTACTATGGGATATGAGCTCATTCATCAGTTTGAGTTTCATGGTACAGTATGTACACTGTATGGGGTCACTTTGGGATAGTAAGATTTTTCATGTTTTTGAAGGAAGTTTCTTATTCTCACCCAGGCTGCATTTATTAAATATACAGTGCCGTATAAGCCGTAAATATTATTACAATTTAAAATGTGTTTTTATGTGAATATATCTTAAAATGTAATTAATTCCTGTGATGCAAAGCTGAATTTTCAGCATCATCACTCCAGTCTTCAGTGTCAGATGATCCTTCAGAAATCATTATAATATGCTAATTTGCTGCTCAAGAAACATTTCTTATTATCAATGTTGAAAATGTTTCAGGAATTGATGAATAGAAAGTTCAAAAGAACAGCATTTTGAAATTGAAATATTTTGTAACATTATAAATGTCACATTTGATCAATTTAATGCATCCTTGCTGAATTAAAGTATTGATTTCTTTCAAAAAATAATTAAATAAATAATAAAAATCTTACTGACTCTAAACTTTTGAATAGTAGTGTATGTCTGCAGATATTACAGATGAATACCAATAACAATTAGACTGTAAAATTTATGTAAAATGAAATGCAGGCTAGCACTGACTTCTTTTTTTAAAAGGGAATTTTCAACTGTTGTACAAGTTATGCTAGTAACTTGTAAGTTACAGTTTTAAAAATGGTATTGTACTGTATATCTGTTATACTAATTAAATTATTTTAACTTTGTACCTCTTTTAGAGATGCCGACAGTTCATTTTTATGTGTCATCTCTCTTGACACAGTTTTCGTTATTAAATATTTATTACATCAAATTACAGCTATTTTTAATATGTAATAGTAAATCTCTATATCTCTCTCTCACTCAAAGACGACACACACATATAGAAAGAACTACATAAAGAACTACATAAAACAGAAATTCAAGAGTTGTTTGTCAAGAATGGAATTCAGATACGTACAAAAATGTTCACAGGTCAAACATGGACATCATCTCTACATCAAAGCAGAAGAAACAGCAGGCAGCTTTACAGAGCAGCTGAATGCACGATACAGTTGTTGTCTGGGTGTTACATTCAGATTGAAATGAGTTAGTCCACAATATGAAGACATCTCAAAGACACAATGAAACATGTCAGACCTACACGAGAAACACATAAAATATCCCACTTATCTCCTCGTTCCTCAAATATACAGCGCTCAAATAGGCTATACAATCAAATAAAAAGCATTACCTACTGGCAGGCAGATGTGTTACAAGCACAAGAAAACACGTCTGTAACAGCTTTGAGACATGGTCGTTACCTTCTGAGCTCACACTCAGAATGACGGCTGGTGTCAAGAACATAGAAAGCAGCAAAAACGGTCTCTTTTTTTGTCTTTTTTTCATGCAGATATATCTAGAAAGAGCCACAGAGGGAGCTCGGCCCCTCATATATCCAAACACATATGAAGCTGTAAGGTCACGTGATCCAAGCAACATCTGGCGCTCTCCGTTAGGATTTCACAATTTATTTCTACAGACAAGTTCACTATCACTGAGAGCTTGTTCAAGATCATTGATATTTACAGGTTGAAAAATAAAGACGATAAGAAAAATGAGAAAGCTCAAACAACAAACTGTTTTTTTTGTCATCAATGGTGAGAATTTAAGTGTTTAATTCCCGCCCCACCGAGCGGATTGGCAAAAATAATGACTCTCCTCGTTTGCCATTGGCCAAAAAAACAGATAGTCCTGCTCCAAACTCTCGCCATTGTTTGAGCTAATGTTGCAGTTCGCGATGCTCAAACCAAACTAGCTTTTAGCACCAAAGAGCCACAGTTTACACCTTTTTTTT